CTTTAGCAAAGCTTGAAAATGTTCTTCCCAAACGTCAACATCACAAAAATGGATCGATTATGAAGAAAACACTTGTATCGAAAGCTACTCACAGAAAACGAACTGTTTTCCGTTAACATTCCTTTGAAGTTTGCAAAAGGAGAACAAACTCTGCTGTTATCTTCTTGTTAGTACTGTCAGCAAACCAGTTTCCTTTCGTAAATCATTGCTAGTAAAACGTTTAATTAATCATCATCAGATCACAGGCTCTTCGCTTACATAATGTACTAAGATGGTTAAATTGTAAAACGTAGAGATTTAAGTTTGTTGCATGATTGTAGACATATATGACTGAATTTCTGAAACGTTATGACGTATTTTAAGGAGAAGTTACAATGAGATTCACTCAGCTTCACGGCATAATATAGTGTTTGGTTGAGTGTTTCATTTATCTAAAAAAAATTTCCTTTCTGAGGACCGCACAGTTCTAAAGCTCTAAGCGTCACTTAAATTTTCCTCCCCCACAGAGTTTCCTTCACATTTAGTGCTTGACTTCGAGCACTTTTAAATAGAAACATTAATCGTTCAATTAACATTGTCAAAAAAGGTTAACACGTTCTCAGAAGTGTTTACTTCAGGACCAAGAAAAAATCTTGTGCCAAGTAGGACAAGTCTCTTAAGTTTCTCAAATACTACTACGCACTACCAGCTGTACACTAAAAGATACTTCTATAATAACTCAGTTTTGAAAGATATTTTAGTGACCTATGCCTGCAAACGCGATATGATTTTACAGTGTACAATAGCATATACCGCAAAGAATGAATCACATGGCGACGTCATTATAAATTAATTGATCGCCCAAGAGAATTTGATAGATTGAATCTTAAGTTCCTCAATAATTGCTCAACAGCAATCTTTGCGCAAATCACTCGCCGAAGGACGCTGCTTTTTTCTCGTTACCTTCCTCAAAGTTCAATCATCATGACAAAGTTAGATTGCCCGCGCGCTGCTAGTTTTTCTTTGGCAAAGACATTCAGGTCTGAGTCATCCTATCGTTAAAGAACTTTCATTTCA